CATGTTCATCTCTGTTCCAAAACCTTTCATATGACACCCATATTGACTATTCACGGTGTTAAGTCGTGTTAACATGACCATGATGGACCGAGATGGTGTACATGTTCATCTCTGTTCCCATATCTCTTATATCGCTTTGACTTTTACATGTATTTCAATATGGAGTGACTCTTAACGCCATCTGTATGCGTAACAATGAATTTTGTTCATTTGATGAATGCTTTGCGCAGCTTACTCACTGAAGCGCCATGAGCGAGCGAACATTGAGCGAATTCACTAACACATCCAAAGGTTTTTCGCTTGACAGCCAAGCGTCAATTTGTTTTGTTTACAGTGCGATTTCATCGCAAAGAGTTTTTTCAATCCACAAAAAGTTCAAACAATAATTGAATTTATTTTAAATATATAAATATTTTGAGTCCACAAATATTCAGAAGAAGTGAGACATCCAATTCGGTTCAATACATGAAAAATGTTTATTGTTATAGAAGCTGCAAAAGTACATTTCAAAGCTATTGACCATAATAATGTGTCAATTTGTGGAGTTTAACTCTAAGAGAATTCTTGTGTTCATTTAATGTGTGCATTCTAGCAATGTGTGTTCCCTTAATCTTTATGTATTCGTCGACAACATAACGAATTAAATAAGTTTTATGGTCATAATGATCAGTGAAGTTCGTTTGATCGTAAAGTGCATCAAAATCAAGATTTTGGAGGATCTCATGATAAATAATACTAAAGTCAATTGATCCCGTCAATATTTCAGTTTTCATGAATCGATTTGTTTGTTTGCATATGAAAAATGTGCTTAAACAAGGTCGTTCCATGGACTTCACGCTGATATTTTCATCCATTTTCGTATTCTCGTCAAAAATACGTTTGCACAATACACAAACAAATTGTTTCATAACCTTGATTTTTTTTTCAATACTACTCGCAATGTTTGCTATCGCACCGTCAGTGAGTTCAGTTTCTTCGTGTTCCGCTTGGACATCATCTAACTTTTCATAAAAGTCTTCTATTTGTTCTTCAGACACGTTTTCAGCTCTTTCAGGTTTATTCGTTGGAAATCTCTTCGATGAAATAGACAGAATGTTTGATTTGAACCCGTAATCATCGTCAGATAATTGGCAATTGGAAAACTTGGAGTACATTATTGTGTTATATGCCAATAATTTCCTGAATGCAGCTGAAAACTGTTCACACGTTGGGTTATCGTTATAACCGTTCAAGGAACGAATTTTACCTACGAATTTTTTTCATTTTAGTTTTTCGATGCACATTATAAACAAATAGTACATATTTACCGAAAAAAATTTCTACAGGATCTTGTTGAAAGCAGTAGGTTCGGAGCATACTTTTTAAATAACATTTCCAAAGACTTCATATTGATTATGAATCCGTTGAAACCGGTATGGATTTTCGAATTGCACACTCTTATCACTTTGTCTTTGTCATTTAACACTTTTAGCCCTTTCATATACTTCTCAGCTTCTGCAAACGTTTTGAATATTTGAGCAGCGTTTGCATTACTCAATGCTCTTTTGAATGGATTTTCATTTTGATCGTGCTTGGTGTTAAATACATCGAACAATGGATCAAATGTTCTGATTAGTTTTATTGTGTGCTCAGCTCCAACGAATTCGGGTACCCCTTTCTTCAACAAAAATTCCATCGACGCTGCGGTAGATTCGCTCAGTGTTTGGACAGCTAGATCAACCTTCATCTTTTTGCGACTCCAATCGATGTGTGATTGATTCATTTTATGTGTCAATACAAAACCACGATCGTTCATACGGACTAGATCGATGAAATATTGCCAATGAATTTCGTTTCCACTAATATCAAACAAAGTTCCTTTACGAGATAAATTGTTGCGAACTAGCTTGATCATATGGCAAATATCAAAGAAAATGTGAATTATCTCATTTCTGACTCGAATATATGGTTTAAAATATGGTGAGTATACGTTCAACACAGCGCCGAGTAATCTACACATTTTTTTGTTTGCTTGAAAGCCATCAAACTTAATATGCGAAACAATGATATTGCAATCCATCAATTCTTCAATGAGTTTTTGAACTAAAGACTTTTTGTTGTCACCACTCAATGAGCTAATGAAGTAGTATGCCACAGGAAGTTGGAATGAATCATTTACTGCAACCACCATGAACACTAGTGCTTGGTTAGCCACGTCAGGTGCGATCGTTTCGCCTTCTGATTCATCTTCGGTAACGTTACGATTTTCAATGCTGGAGTACCCGACAAGTTTTCGATCTTTATTTGACCATTGAATATGTTTACGGATGCTCACTTCATCGAATAATATGCCGCAAATTAATTTCTCTCCTCTTTCAGCTTTATCCATGACTTTTTTTCTCAGAACATTCAAGCAATGCTCATTGATGACATTGGGAGCAGTATTTAAGTCTGAATTTACATACCACGATCGAATTGTTCCTGAGTGTGGCAAATGGTTGCCAAAGGTTTCGCGGAGAAATTCATAGGCTCTGGGACTATGATAATGCATGGTGAAACTGAATTTTCGAATTGTTTCTGGGTATTTATCTCTTGGCTTGACTTTGTGAACTAGGCTCTTGATTATTTCATTTTGTTTATCCTAAACACAATAAATAAAAATTATTTCAATGCATAATGAATTGTAATCCATAGTCCAAATAATTACGTTCATCTCGGCAAATGCTACATTTTTTTCGCTCGTTAATCGTTCCGATAAATTTGTCAACTGCTCGATTTGTTTCTTCAAGTCACAAATCTCTTTGGTTTGCTGTTGTTTTATTTCTTTGAAATGCGCGATGCGTGACTTCATGACAAATTTATCACTCTCATTTTTTCGCTTGAGGTTTTCAATTTCCTGCTGTAATTTTTCAATTTCTGAAGAGATTCCTTGGTGCTCAGTGATATTGCATGTGTCAGCGTTTTTTTTCATGGAATATACACATAAATTGTTTTGAGAATTCAATTCATGTGGAACAATATCGCTGTCGGAATCATCACTCTCGTCAATTTCAATCATCTCGACGCTGAATACACTCGGAATTGCACCGGATTTCAACTGGAATCTTTTTCCATCTTTCAATACAATATAATCATCTGGTACAAAATGATCGATGCAAATAAATTGACTTGAGCCACATTCCTGTCCACTCAATGCTTTTGTCCATGCTTCTTGGGCAACTGGATCTTTTGGGAAACTATAGAAATATTGTGAAAATACAGACACTTTAATCTTTTTCACTCAAATAGTTTTTTTTATCTAACCTGAACATATATATTTGAGCATTTTCCACTCCTTTAAAATGTTCACAACTTTTAATTTTACAGTATCGCATTTTGGTTACGTTCTCATTAAGAATTTTCAAATTAGAACCAAACGCTACAAACAGTAAACACAACTGCATTCGAAACCTTAGTACACATTGGAGTACTTACGGTTTATGCCGTGAACATTGTAAATACGCATAATGCCCCCTTCAGCAAACATTTGAAAACTGAGTTTATTTTTCTTCGATTCTAATTTAATGTTTCTCCAAAAGTCCTATTTCCGACATAGATAGAATGCATTTTGGCGTTAAATCCAATGCATTGAATAGGCATAAACAATTTAAATCCAAAACAATTTACATAAAGCAATTGAAGTTTCAGTCATTTTTCATGTGTTTATCACGAGCTAATACGTAGCTTCTAATTTCATCATATTTGTGAATCAGTATAAAGTTCAACATAGCAAAGCATATGGACTGGCGTATAAATTCAGGATTTAATATTAAATCAATTTAAAAGAGCAGAGTAAAAAAAGTTATCGTTGTAGTTTCAATCAAAAGATGACCGATCAAATGTTTCACAAAAATTCAATTTAGTTCTTTATTCAAGTAAATAAATTTCTATCTTCATAATTTTTTTCTTTCTTATTTTATGTGAATATAATCGTAATATGCTGATTATTGAGAACAAACAGAAATTTTATTTAATTTCAAGTCAAAAAGAAACTGTCAAAAATGTAGATTAATCGGAATCGCTGAAGACAAGTTGGCCGAAACTTTCGTCTGATGCGTCAATGTCGTCCTCAAGATTGATATTTTCCGATGACGCAATGTTTGATTTTCCTTCTTCGTACTTGTCAAGCACGCCCAAAATGAACTGAGAAGTATTTGACTTTCTCTTCGATGGGCCATACTTTTTTGTGAGCTGCACACCGAAATCACACATTGGAATCAATACGGGGATGCTTCGTTTGGCCGGTTGGCTTGAAATTATCGGTTGAAGTGGAGTTATCGGTGCTGGCAAATCGAGCATTTCTGGAACAAAGCTATCAATGACAGAGGAATGATCTTCCATACACATAAGGTCTCCTTCAAAAACAACAGCTGATGCAATCGGTATGATTGGTTTTGGCAAGTTGAATGCGTTTGGTACATTGCAATCAAGTATGTTTGATGCATCTTGTACACGAACCGGACTTTGCATTTCGACTGGTGGCAAAAATGGCAACAAAAGTTCCTCAGAAGAAACCGAAAAATCGTTTGGTGGTGAAACATTCTCGAATTCAGCATCCGAATCAAAATCGCTTTGATCTGCTTCGATTACTTCAACGACAACTTCAATCGCACAATGGTTTTGCATGCCACTTGATTCCGGTTGGTCATTTTATTGATCGACTTCACGTTGCAGTTCATTTGATTTTGGCAACGAATCATTTGGATCAACTTCGATTCCGTCGGCACTATTATCAATTGCACCATTGCAATGCGTATCGCTTAGCTCCGACAACTGATGGACCTCACGTTGCGCTTCATTTGATTTTGGAACCGAATCATTTGTTGCAACTTCGATTGCGTCGGCGCTATCATCAATTGCACCATTGTTATGCGTATCGCTTAGCTCCGACAACTGATCGACTTCATGTTGTACACTTGACTTTTGCACCGAATCGTTTAAATCAGCTTCGACTACGTCAACTGCAGCATTATTTTGCGAGCCACTTGGTCCTGGCTCTGACAGATTGATGGTCACAGCGCAAACAGAACGGCGACGGGTGAATGGTTTGTTTGCAACTTTTTTGAACAAAATATTCGAACTAGCTGGCAATAATCTGGGTCCCAAAGCATAAGTTGCACGACGAGCAGCGATTTTTGCAGCTCTCCGAGCTTCGATCAATTTATCCAAAGCACCGTTTCGATTGATGCGCACGGTGCATTGAGAATAAAGCGCCATCAACAGTTTTTGCGTGTCAGCTCGAGTGGCTATAATCCAAACAAAAAAATATACTCTTTAGTCATGTATCGAAAAATGGTGCCATTCTTTTATGTTACTCAAGTTTGGCAAATAAATTCTAGTTTAATAGAGGAAATGTCGACTTACTTCTCCGAATCCCACTTGTAGAGGCTCCTGTCTTGCTTCCGTTGGATTTTGCCATGATTGGAGTTTAATTTAAATTAACACAATACTACCAATAATTTTATTTTGAAAAAATATATTTTCTTAGAAAATTTTGTTGTATTGAGAGTGATTTAGCGGCTTTAACGTGTTAAGTCTTTAACCATTTGCAATGAACTGTACAACACAAGTGTTTGTTACTTGTCAATAGTGTGCGAATGAATCGGTGGTTTGACAGCGCTATGCAAAGTGATGTCAATGAACCCAAAGGCTACTACGATGCTGAACCTTGTTCGAAATGTTTCGATCCAATCATGACTCGAGTCAGTTTTTTTATTTTATTCAACAGTATTTTTATTCAAATAATTATGAATCTCATTTTATTTAAAAATTAACAATCAAAATAAAAAAAAATCAATCAATATTCTTGATCAAATAATCGAGCACCACTAGCGGCTGCTTAACGGTTGCCTCATCCGAATTGACAATTGCGATTTCGCCATTTTCGTATTCAAAAAAATACATAATGCCTTCCCGTCCGTCCTTTGCATCTGAAAAAATCAAAAGTAGCATCATTGCATTAAAAATAAATCAACATTTCCATCGAAAAAAACGAATAAACACTTACAAATCACAGTGACAGCATCACTTTGGCGGCTTTGCACCAATTTGCGATTAGACAAAGACGGTGCATCATCTTGATTTTCGTCCGTCCAAACAATTTTCGATTCCAGATAGTAAATGAGGTTGAATACCCCCTTTTTAGCCTCCGACAAATTCATGACTTTTGCGGTTTTTCCATCGAATTTTGCCAAAAATGTTACCGTGTCGTTTTCCTTTCTGGCACCTATAAACATTTAAGTATCGACATTAGAAAAGTTATCTATTTCAACTTAAGCATTTATATACCTACCGATAATTTCAGGTCCTTTGGACCTTTCGAATTTCAAGACAAGTTTATGACACGATAAATTCGATTTGGGCTCCCACGTCGGTTTGTCGGATTGTTTCCATTTCAAGAGATACTAAAATTGTACATGTTCGTTCATCAGTACATAAATCAGTTTATCACCACTTAATTTTTCCAATTAAAAACACTTACTTCTTCTTCTCGTCCAACAAAACGCTTGCCAATAACGTCAATGACTTCAAAATTCATTTTTTTCTCTATTTAAACTTTATTTTTAATTGACTTTAAATGAAATTTCGATAAAACAAGTGCATTTAGCTTTCACGGATGTAAACAAACCAAAGCAAAACAGTGACACTTCTTAGAATGTCAAACAATTCGCCAGTGGCGAATTCATTACCTAAGTTCGCTGCGAAGCTCGCGCGCCACTGAAAACATTGCGCGAAGTTGACAACGTTTCATGTTACACAGATAGATGACTCCATATGTTTAGAATGGCTTCAATACAAGAGATATGTCTGTTCCAAAACCTTTCATATGACACCCATATTGACTATTCATGGT